ACAATTGTATGATATTAGAGATAACATCTATATGTCTCCTTTTCCTAATTAATCTCATTTCAAAAATAACAGCAGTTACTCTCTAACCTTTGAGGCTAGTTAAATATTTGAATCTGCAACGTTCACATTTGATTTTTTTAATCATGTAGCAGCCCAACTAGTCTATCGTTTTGTGGCGAGCAAAATTTCAAATACCAATGTGGAATCCTCTCGCGTCGAGTTAGGATCAGCGCGGACCTTTTGGACATTTATGAAGACAAACACTGCGCTTGACTCGTGTTTACTCTCTCTAAATTAAGAGACGTACTGACTGCGAGTTGCCATCGTAATATTTGTAGCAACACATAAATCTGGCCAGAGTAATGTAGCGGTATTTTTATTGCAAAATCGTGCGTATTGCAACCACTTAGAAGCCACAGTTTTCAGCATGGCGTACCGTGTATGTACCTAGTGGTGTAAAGACCACAGTCATTTGTTTTGTTAAGCCTTTCTTAATACAATGAGTCATTAATTTAAGAAACGAAGGTAACGTTACAAAATATTTAATTTATGACAAAGTTGCTAGGTGAAAACATTGACGGTCATCGTATTTGTGTTCGCGAGTTGACGCCACTGGCGAGTGGTCCTGTCATTGGATAGAGGCGCCAAAGTGGTATGAAATGAAGAATTATTTTCACATTTAACCAGTGTTTACGACAGAGCAAGCAATACAGAACGCTTACTCAGCGAAACAAAATGTTGCAAGTGAAGCGAGTCTATCATTTTTAGCGCACCGCCGACGTCATGCCCGCGGGCGTTTGGACATTTATTAAGTAGGAAATACGGACAAACCGAAACGTCTGCTGTACGCCACACTGACTGTTTGCACCTCTTAATTAAAAGACGAATAACTGACGGACAGCTAATAAATATTCCAAACGCCAGAACTAGGCTATGATACGTATGTTTCGCTTGTCAGATTCTTTGGAGCGGGGAAACAATGTAGCATCGTCAAACAATGGAACGATCAAAATCAAGAAACAATGCTCACATTAAACTGCAAATACCTATGCTATTGGAAATCTGTAGCCACACAAATGCGTAACTCACCACACAATTGCAATTGCATTGCAGTCAACCTTAAAATAAACGTAACAAGTCCTCGCGAACATTGCTCGCGTTTACAATAGAAATATCTTTAGTATTCACCTGTCGGGCAATAATTCCATACGGCTTTACAGGACGTGCATTCGAGTGACATGCAGTAGCCAGCCTTGGCGGATACAACACAAAGGCGCTCATTTTTTTGCGCGCCTAACATAAAATCCAAATCAATGGTTAGCTCAACTCACTTTTGTTATTGCTCCTATTATATGGACTTTCGCTCCGGTCTATGGCAGGCTTTTTGACCACACGGTGAACTGCAGCCCGATTGCTTGTCGAGGTTTCATAAAAATTCATGGCGACATGTGAACGTTTGTTTCGTGTTCATGCCACATTCGTTTTCTGATGGACGTTGCTATTTTTAATCATTTCGCCTACTCGACGAAATGTTGATATAGTTTGTTATTAGATTTACCAAGAATGTTACTTTTCTTTGTATACCAAGAAAACATCTAACGCTAGTTTCCCTATTCAAATGTTTCGGGAAAACATTTCCAAGAAAATGACGGCCACATCGCGAGCCGTCTCCAAACATAATATTGGCTAATACAAAAGCCACAAAAGATTACAAAAGATCACTCCGCCGGCTTATTCTAAGGCAGTCTTAAAGACAGGTAGCGACATCCATAGCCGCTAGGTACATCTTACTCTGCAGCAAAATAAAACAAGAACAGCTGCTTATTGTATCGCTGACAGCAAAGCCTTGGTGCGCCATTGTGAGCTCCTTGGAAGAAATATAATAGCGACTTACTTGATCCTGAGAAGCCACAATACGTCGTCATTATTTCGCGCTTACGGAGCTAGAAGGCCTCTTTTCACTCCATTTGCTTGGCTAGTGTGGCGTCACGTTGAAACAATCGAAGGTTCAACCGGCAGGCCATTGTTTTGACGGCTCTAAAAGTTGAATTTGACGGAGCTCGAGTGCGCTAGCTTATGAAGTTCGTAACACACACTTCAATAACATTTCTTAGAATCGTTATTTTATTTACTTTGATGTTTGTTACTCGAAATTGTTTATATCACGTTCCAATTTCACCTTTTCTGAAAATATGAAATTGTTAAAGAAAACGAAAACATTTGTCAGACCGCTCGTCTTACTAGCTTAAAGCAGCTTTAAGTGCGTAGGTACTCATAGCAATAAATAAAGAATAAAACAAAAAACGAACATCTCTGCAAATTCCCTTTGTGCGCTTATCCTTCTGTGAAGGTTTTCAAAAAACGAGCACAAAGCAACATTGGTTAGTGCACCGGTTTTAGTTCTATCTGACACGAAACACAATTCACTCGTATTTTTGTGGGATTGGTCCGCGGGTTGAGATTCGGAAGCTAATGAAGTGTATCGCGGACACTTTACCCGTGTCAACCTGTCAGAAACACGTCATATTTACGAGATTTCTCTTTTGTTTTTTAAGCGATCGCGACGTCGATTGCCATTAGGATGAGCGGAGCTGATAATGCAAGTGCCAGCTTTTCGGGAAATACATCGGTTTGAGCGACCTTCGTGTGCTAGCTGTCAGTTCACATCAGGGATGAGTTCGAAGAAAAAAATTGCGTGAGAACATAATACGACACCCATTTTTAACCACTCGATTGGTACTCGACACCTTTACATCCTTTTTAACCCAAATTAAGTCAGGTCTAGGCAAACAAGCGACTTGATCGACAGACTAATGAGATTTGCGGTTATTTGATATACGAGTATAAGCTGTCACTCTCACGTCTAATTTTCATACATACATACATACATAATTTCAAACATAGCAATTCCTAATAATACCAAGTCGTTAAGTGAAATAATAATCCTCTTTCAATAGCCTCATAATTATGTATTATGTCAAGTGTTTAAAGATACTAATATTATCTTTACGGTATTTTTTTTCTAGATTTTCTAGGCTAGAATTACCTTTGTTCTTTTAGAAAAGTTATGCCGTAAAAATGGGTAAGGGTGTCAACTACGCAACTGATCGTCTTAATCAAGCCACAGCAAACATGTAAAAAACAACCCATTGTCACCAAATACCACAATGCCTGCAAAAAATTTGTGCAACGCGTTGTTAAAGTCACGTAACACATGTTATAAGAGGAATGATCCCAAAAAAGTGCCTGATATAGTGAAGCGAACACTTCGTGGAAACCGGAGCTGGCTCCGCGCTGATCCTAATGTACCGCGACACCGTATCACAATATACAGTTTGTTTCCCGGTAGGTAACACACAAATTAGTGTAGTATTATGTTCGCGACCTCATTTGTTGGCGCTTGTTTTTCTGGGGAAGTGACAGGACCGCAAAGGTTGACGCGCGTGGGATGGGGTTTTTGTTTTGTTTTCGCAATTTTTTTTTATTGATAAATCTTCATGACGATTTTAGAGGACTAGGCATAAAATAATTATGAGTTAGTTTAGTCCTTAGAAAATTTTCATTTTATATGAACTGATGAATCCAGGGCAGCAGTGGTCTTCTCGTGATAATAAAATGTTATGAAAGCTGATGAAATGCAAAATGCAATTAAAGCTTTAGCAAACTTTTATCTGATTTATAATAGGTACAATCACTATTAAGGCTGACTCGTTTAATAAATGTCTCGAATCGCCCACATGTTACTTACATGTAATAATTTAATCTATTTGGAAACATTTAATAGACTCATTATTTATACTAATTTTCTCCTAGTTACAGCATTGAATTGATATTTTTCTTGTTTATTTTTAGGGGAACGTAATTTTAAAATTACTAGATAATTATTTGAGATACACCCCCACTGCTGTATTTACTGATTGTATAATTACACGCTTTTAAAAAAAATAAACACGTATCGTTCTACTCAGGAAATGAGTAATCAAATTTTAGATTTGGGTCAAAATAACCGATGATATTGTTCGTTAATTACGCCACTTTATACTTTAATTGCGCTGTAATGCCATAATAACACGTTCGTTTTAATTGAATTGTATCATTTGGCACAAAAAGTTCTATGGAAATAAAAGCAGATGTCTTCATTGTTGGGTCGGAGTTGCAACAAAAAGTGCGCGAGACGGAGCATGCAAAAAACAACCGAAATTTTGCGGCACACGTTAGACTACCTGCTACTTTGTGACATCTTGACGTAGGGCTGGTGCATGCATCATTTATTAGTTCCCAAGACTCGACTCACGACAACCATAAATCTTACACCAATCTTTTTTTTATTTCGCCAAACACGAAACTGGGTCAACCACATTCATTTTAAAACATTTCAAATTCACAATGTAAAGTTCTCTAAATTGAACAACGACGTTCAGACTCTCACGTTTTAATCGCAACAGAAAATCGAGGAATTATTACCGGTCTCACATTCATCGAAATCAATATCGAGGGTGCTGCAGATTGAACATCACGATTTGTGCAATAATCAGGTGACAACCCTAAAAGCTTCATCTGCCACTTGAACGATCGAAAGGTACGACGGCGCGCCGGTATCAGGAAGGAATGTACAGTGGGTGACTTGAACAGTTCCCGTCCCTCTCCCGCTCGACCGGCTTCACCTAAGCCCAATTTGCACGCCGTCTCATTCGCACACACCAACATTTTCAATACTTACCTGCGTAAAATGATATACATCTGTTGCGGTGTCGTTCTCTCGCTCGCACGCAAGCTTCGGAATGAATTGTTGATATACGCGTCTCGCTCGGATGTCTCATGAACAGGGGGTAGTAGACGGTGTTGGCACGCGCTTGTGTTGGTGTCCGTTTATTTAGTGAACTTGGAGCTCGCTTTCGTGTTTGTGCATAGGGTGTTGGGGCGTCATTGTGTGCGTGAGTTGTAGAGGCGCGACATAGCTTTGCCGTCTCCATGACTTAAAAGTTTTGTTCGGAATGAGACCAGCGAGCTAGTACTGCGCCGGCCGGCACGCCTGACGGACGTGTGTGCCACGCTCGCGCCAAACTTCTCCGTGACGCTACGAGTACTAAAACTTGTTTTGTTGATAATAACACTGAAAGTTCTACATTGTTCGCATTGTTTTTAACAACTTATTGCGTTGTTCTAAGAATAAAGTGATCTTTTATTCATTCAACTTTGTGTGTTACCTGATTTTTTTGTGAAACTGCAACGTGTTTGGTTCAATGGACTACAGAAGAGGTTGGCCGTTGCAACATTCTCCTATAGGCATTGTGTATCCAAATAACTCCGGCTCATTTTATCGTTATTTTCAATGGAAACTTAAAAGGAATGGACAGAACTTTGAAGTAAGGAACGTCATAGTCGTAAAATTTGTTGATGTTTTATCGAGATAAAGGAACTGAGTGTACCAAACGGTTGGTTTATAATGAACAAAACAAAATCCAAACATATTTCACGAAGAGCTTTACGAAATGTTGACGAAATATTAGTCAACAAACATTATAAAGCAGTTCATATCCCCAGTTGTGCAAATAATGGTTTAGAATTGAATCATTTTAGACCTCCAAAATTACCAGAAATCATCTCAAAAATATGCTACCACAGCGGTTTAGATTCGTCGAGTTGAACAACCTACGACGAGTATAAATAGACAACACAGACAGACAGTACAAACAGAAATCGCCGGTAGACGAGGAACCCCCTTTACAAATCATTAGCATGTCTTCAAAATGTTTTACTATCTGTGAAATGTTACGGAGTGAAAAGTCAGTGTATTTCAGTGTCGTTTTATTCAACCCTCTTTCTTTGATTTGACCGTGGATTTTATTGGTTTGAAACACGGTAAAAAAAAGTTTAAAGTAGAAAACGTTGAATTTAAAATGAAAATAGTACCTGATAGCTAGAATTTGGATTATTAAAACAATGTTTTAGTTGAAGTAGAAGAAGTCCCATTAATAAAATCAAATATAGATCTAAATGTTGATAGGAATTGAATATATAAAGCTGTGTTTTACTAGCAAATATTTGTTAATCTATAAAAGATTCAATAACATGAGGTCAATGTTTGAAAGATGGCCCTAAAATAATAACGGATTCTTTTTATTTATCATACCTACCTAAATAAGGTTTGTTTACATTATTCATAATAATAAGCAAATGAGATCTCAAAGCACGCATCTATTCATTCTCCTAATTAAGTAGCAAATTAATTAATTCAGAACCGCTCTGAAATCTGCTTCCCCTATTCAATAGCAATAGGCAACATAATAAATATGTATAATAATTGTGCAAGAAAGGAAACAAAACAAACAGAAGTCTTTTTCTAAAAATATAGACAAAAAAATATGTTATATGTTTTTATCAATACTATTAAAAAACCGTCAAGTAATATTGAATTTACAAAATATTTGAAGCGAAAAAAAAACACATTTTCCTCAAACCGAAAAAGTTGTAAACCAATTTACTTTACACACATTCAGAACTTCTGTACAATAAAGAATAAACAAAGGATAAAACAGAAACTGATGCTACACAACTATTATACAGTTCACATGCCACGTATACTATTCCAAAAGTTCTCCCCGTAGATATCAAAGTGGCCATAACGGTCCCCCTGTTCCATCCAGAGAATTACTACCTTTGGATACCTACGTGTGTTCCCATTGTGGGACCAAAGATTTATTTTATTCTTATCAATTACAAGAACAATCTCAAAGAGAACATCATTTATTATGAAAGAAAGACCATCATCAATCATGAGATAATAATAGAAGTATTGACTCTCAATTAAATTTATGGACTTTGCACTTACTCTAACAAAACAAAACAATGTGGAATAGCAATAAATAATTGAATTGAATTGAAAATAATAAATTTAAAATGAATCATTGAACCTGAAATTATGTGATCATAAAAATGGTGTAAGGTACACTATCAAATAATAAGGGACATCTAGTTGCCAAAATTTAAGATTAGTTTTTGGCAATTATTAATTAATGTGATTTTACAGAAAATATGTTTTGTCTTAAATTCCATTCTTCCATTCTACTAAACTTATTAAGCATTGATTAGAAAACTATGAAAATCAATTGTAGCTTGGCCTCGCAATGGGAACGCATCGTTTGCCGCCATGTTCTGCCTTGTCCTAAACAATTGATATCTCTATTTGTATCAATAATACGCCAGCAGACGTTTACGTTCATTTCGTACGTGTGCTGAATCCAGTGGCTGGAAGCATTGGCTTTCTTACCGACGTCATATTTATTGAAACTATTGGTTGTAACTAAATCTTTGTTCGAGACTTTCTGCGGAGCTTGTTACAAGTTTATTGTTAGCTGGATTTTGATGGCGAGCTTACTCGTGTATTCTATTTTCTAGTTGATTCCTTATTCAACGATTTATGAATTTAAAACAATCAAGTAATGTAAAGTTTTCCAACAATCACTTCTTTTATTAGCAGCTACTTCAGTTCTAGATATAAGCTTTTTTACTGCACAATCTTATTTGAGTAGATTGTCGTCTACCAAGAACCTTTCATCAAATTCTACAAGGAAATAACATCATGTTTGAACTCCCACACATTAATATTACTCCCACGGTAACTTCAAACACAAATTATAACCACAAATTGTATTCGTCTACAAAAACATTATCGTCGATTCGGAATCGTCTTATACTCGTATATTTCCATTTCATTTATCAAACATTCTTTTGATTGATATTGTAAGTAAATTATGATTCAGAGCTTCGGAGATCGAATAAGTGAACTCACCATCATTTTGCTTCAATATATTTAGCAGACCATTATTTATACTAACATTAAGTAACTGAGAGTAATATTCGATTCATTAGGTACTATATTCATTTGTATTTTCTACTATCTTTTGCCCTCGTTAATTTTGGTCTCTCAGAATTTTTCAAATTGGTTCAGTAGTTTCGGAGCCCATTCAATACAAAGTAATACAAACAATCAAATGTTTCTAGTTTAGAATATTTATGTAGATTGTAATTTCCTTATGACTGTATTTCAACTACAATCAACAAAATATCAGCAGCATTGTATCGATCAACGTCTAGCACCCAGTAACTAGGAATTTATTAATTTAATTTAATAGCCGTCTGTACTCAGACTCCAGTAAGATTCCCTTTGAATCCTCGCTAACATTTCTTGAGGTTGCGGTTAGGGAAACCAATAGCTACGTTAGTACCATTTAATTGATTTTGTACTCAGAAACTAATTACACTTGAGGTTTATGTAACCGAACTGTATAATAACTAGTGTGTTAGCTCTAACATAATCTCATATAAGTAATCCTTCTGATTATGGAATAATGTTAATGATTGCAGAATTGCCATGATGATTATAACACCTTCAGCACTATAAAAATTAGCCCAAATAGCTTCTTTAAAGAAACACAAACTTATAATAGACCCAAAATTAATTTTACTTTAAATTAAAAATTTGTATGAACTACATTCAACAATGCCACACAAACAATTCTGTCCCGATAGTAAGTATTCATTATTAGCCTACTTGTGATGTAGTTCTAAAGTAGAATCTTACTTAAGGTTGAATGAAGATGCAAACAAGATACAATATCATACAATTTCGCTAGAGGCAATAGTTATTTCTCTCACACACAATTATGACACGCATCTGTTTATGCCCGTATTATTTGTATTTGAGCCGCAGTACTATCGGCTCACCGATATTTATTCAGTTCCCTGCTAAGGAGCTTACAATTCGCTGCTGTTACAGTATTGTATTAATAATTCAAAGCGTATTTCCGAGGCCCGCCGTATCTCTTCGGGGCAGCCAATTTGTTTCTGGATTACTTGCTTCACATTCACGCAATCATTGATTACGCAGTCCGTTCTAAGTATTAGCTAATTTTATGGTCATTTCGTTAATTAATATCTGACTTGATGCTAATTTAATAGCACAAATTATTCAAGGAATAATTTGTTAGGAGATTTACATCTAATCCCTGAATCTCCAATTTAGTTGACAAAGGTAGACCATCTCATAAACATTATGGTACATTTAGTTGTCTGTATACAATTGAGTAATAAAAAAGTAATAATTAAAGTTATCATAAATTATGTACTAAATGTACACAATAGTAAAGACATAGGACATACTCATAATAAATCATGTAGTAAAATATTAGATTTAAAAGTTAACCTAATACTGGCAATAAAGACGACATTTAAACCTCCAAAGGCCAATATTTAATATTTCGTCCTAATTCAATTCATTCACAAAGTACTTACCCCGAGAAAGTATTATAAAATATAGTGACTATTTTAAACAAAGTAAAGCGAAAATTAAATTTTACAATGTGATATTCCAACCAAAGTTTCGTATTTTCGCTGATTCACAGGCTTCCAGAAATTTAAATTTATTTATTTTAGAAATAAATAAGCTAAATAATAATTTTGGAGTCCTTAATAACAGCCACATTATGTAAATTAGAGAATAAATTGTAACGGAACTCATAATGTTCATAAACTTTTGCTACAAAATGTTCATAATTATCAAATATAGACTTTAACATTGAAGTGGGCGAACCAATAATTGTAATTCAAATCCTTGCAAGCGTTAATTTGGTTAACGAAGATGCGTCGGCAGATATTTTTGCATGGCTTAATGGCCTGACATGGATACGGGTCGCGGAGGAAACATCGAGTATTGTGTTACAGGCTCAGTGGTCTTTATCGAGGCGAAATTTCATTATACGTACCCCATTCAATTGGAACACCTTCGCACAATTGGGAGGGCTGCCTCAATGGGTTGTCGGATGAAATTTCTTAACATTCTTCGCTCATTATGAGAGGCCTGTCGTGCTATAGGCAGCAGTAACGGTGTAATCGTATTGCGAAATGAGATCGACAGATATTAAAGGAGATTAAAGTCCTCTTAATGAACCCTTATAATAAAATTATACGTCGACTCCACCCAAAATTTCGAGCTTAATTACTATCTGCGAAAATTATTCCAAAGTATTGTATTTAACCTTCCGACGCGTTTTATTGAAAAGATTTAATCCCCAAGATATAAAATTAAATAATCCGTACGATTCCGTTTCATAACCCAGTTTCGTAATTAATTAAAAAGATTTTAATGCAGACAGAATACCTATTTGAAGAGGAAACTTTAAGTAGTGAGATTGATAAACAGCTTTTGAAGTTTGGATATAACGAACCTGGCGTGGTTATATGACAAACAAGTTTACGAAAGAAAAAATTAACAAGATAAAAAATCTCCTATCACGGAACATAAGTAGAGATGTAGTGAATCATCGGTAATGAAGACATCATTAAAGAACCGGTTACGTTCGAAATGACGGTGCTCCGAACTGAGAGGGCCATCGACTTTTTTCTGGGAATAATGTGCCACGACTTCGAACGAGTGATTCATTAAAATTATCATTGGGTTACCACGAAGAGTGATTTGAAATAACACAAACGCTAAACAACTTAATCAACATTTCGTTTTTATTAAAACATGGATACAATACTTAGAAGTTCTCGGTTTGCATAATTTATGCTTTATAAAGACGTTACACCTAGTTATATGTAAATTCAATTTCTCATTATAATGTTAATGATATTGTTAAAGTCAATAGCAATTAATTAGTTGGATGAATTACCTGTCAAAAATCTTGATAAGTTTAAACAACACCATCCACATCAAGATAAATATCACCACACTTAACAAAGCTAAAGCACAATGATGTGACTTCATATCAAAATATAGGTACTCCAAATAATTTCAACGACCATTTTTCATTTTGCAATATGAATGCCCCGTACCACGTTCTCATGATCCCCAAGGATACAAACAAAATAAAAAAGAGTGAACCTTGCTTCCCTTTAAGTAGAATTTGAAAGTAGGGGGACTTAAAATATTTACTGGGAAGATCTGCTGTCAATTGAACAAAAATCACTCATGCGATAAACCGCTGCCATTAATCATTTCATATAAATTTTGTAACCCTACATCATGAGATGTCATCTGGTGATACTGCTTTGGTTTACAAAGCGAACACGCGTATATGCTATTTATGAGAATCGCAATTTACAAAAAATAAGTATTTTTACTGTATAAAATCAAATTGTGTAAAGAAAAGTGGAGATAAATATTGTAATATTTGAGCACAGCTGTAATCTCGCTAAAATAAAAAGTAGCACTCTGATGGATGCAAAAAAGCTTATCATGCTGGATCATAATCTATCCCGCTAAGTACATGAAATAACAAACCAAATCTACTCGTGATATTTGCATATCAAATAAGTAATACATCCAAACAACTCAACCCCTTTCACATTCCCTTTTTTGAAGTTGTTATCTATTTAATTCATCTCTGGACTCTTTCAAGGGTCGCCCTGACCGCATTCAGCGAAAGATATCGGTCACATGACGAAGGATCGGTCTCTGAGGCTCAGGTTAAATTTACCAGAAGACATTTATTTATTCGCTGATATCCAGGATAATCATCTCCACGGGTAACTGGGTAACGATTAAGGTCATCGCGTTGATAAAGCTCCCTCCACCCTAACAGATGGCGACAAAATCCAACAAAGTTATCTCCAAAATTCAATTTTAATGTGAAAAAATATGCGGGTGTTTTAATTAGTGTGTATTAAAGCTATCTGTGGAGTTAATCAAACGGGAATGGCGTAGGTTCAACCGGTTATAGGGATGGGGATGGCTCGACGGCAGTATGTTGGAAAGGTTTAATCTTGGCAATATCCATTTGAGGTGAAAACGAGAAATCCTTATTGTGGCAATTAAAAACGAAATACATTTTCTGTGTAACGGGTTAAAGGGTGGTCGATGGTCGTATGTGCCCCTGTTGCACATCGCATGTGGTTTCCATTACGGAGGTGTGCTTAATGCGGCGCTCGTAATGGTCCTCGCAGCCATTACGCGTCCCCACAACATACTACTTTTTAATACAAAATCTACAAGCAAAAATTGTCTTTCTCCATTTCGAAATGGGCGTATGTCGACTGGCGTTTTTTTCACTTCCCCATAATTTCGTTTTATTGGTTCTATTATATTTCTATTCGGGGCACAATTGCCGGAGCATTTGCTACCGACATTTTGCTTTGTTGTTTTTCCTCGTGCAGTGCAACGGTTGCGTTTATTATATTGACCTTTATCCAATAAATCATTGCAAATTGCAATCACAGCGTCATGTTTATTTTCAATAGTACTTACAATATTATGAATAGTAAAAAATGACGTTCTTTTATTTACTTTTAGGTAATAATCATGAATCATAATTTTTGTACAAATATTCACAAGGCTTGAAAAAACTCTGTCCATTCTTTAAAAATCTCAAGCTTTTATTTTAGGCGTCTGCTAAAATAGCGTTTTTCACTATCTAAAACCTCAATTCCCTGTTAAACAATATCAAGCATGTATGTTAACACATTAATTTGTACACTGCGTCACGATTATAAAATTTATTATGCCTCAGAATCGCGTGTGGGTTTTTGTATTTAGCGCACGGCCGTCACTCAGACCGAAATTAGGCCTAACTTTAGGCCTACGCCGTAACACGCTCGCGTTCAAAAACTTTCTTTTAGGCCATTCCTTTTAACTTTTCACCTTTTTACTTTACCTCATAGAAAATACTTTAGCGAAGAGCAAAGAATTTTAAGTGTATAAAAAGGTTAGGTAAAAATTGGCGACGCCTCAGTGAAGATTTTAAATTAAAAATACAACGATAAAATGACACTGGAGTTTTTTGGAGCTTGAGGATACGAAATACTGACGTCATTTGTTTTTCTTTTGCAGAAAATTCGCAAAAATGATTACGGAAAATTAACTTACAGACTTGTAAAGTACTTTTTGTGTAGTGTAAAAGTGTTCTGAGATGTTCTCTCTTCGGACTATGGATACGTTGGCGGTTGTGGTCCGGTGGTGCCTGTTCCTGCTAGTCGGACTAGGATGGCAGGTTCAGTCCCAAACAGTGCAACAAACATCTATAGTGGACAATTCATACAATTTTTACTTTGAACAACCGTGCTGTACAGGGACAGTTCCAAAGAGCAAATATCATACACGGCACAGGCGAGGTAAGATTTTGTTTTTATTATTATGTGAGTAAGCATAGATTGAAATAATTCTTTCATTTTTAGCTTTCAACGCTTTTGAATCACCTGAAATTTTGATAAAAGCAAAAGCATTTTATCGAAATCTCGACCTATTTCTCAATTTTGATTTAAAATATCTAAAAGATAGGTCAATACTCTTCTTAGATCAAACACTTCTTAACTTAATAATTAATTAGTGCAGTGATCCAAGCTTCATACTCAGCAATTATCAAATCTATTTGTGAATTATATTTTCTTTTCTTAGTCATATTCGTACAACAACCTGAACTGATACAGTCACGACCAAATACTCACACATGGGCACGTATCACAAACACACCGGCATTAAATACACTTTGAAGGGTACATGACGCACTGCGAGACGGATATACAAATATCTGGGAGAACGAAAGAGACGGCAGATTCCTTTTGTTTCAAGCCCCCCAGAGATGATGCCGCGAGTTAAGACTTTTAATACAGTAGTAGTTAGCATTCCTGTTGCAACTGCGTATGCAGCTATCAGAATTATATCCATTCTATTATGGACTTTATATGAATGCAAATAAATGCTATTTGCTTGAGATTATTGTGTAACTAAATTCTACATCTTAAAAATAAGGTTTCCTTAATCCTTTAACATTTAAGCTGTATGTTGTTTTAAAATTGACGCTAGTATTATATCTCTTCAAATGTATAAAATTCAATAAAAGTTAAAATTTTGAAACATTCTGTTCCAAGAATTGCAAGTGAGCAAATATTCGGTGAAGCTTTAATTAGTAATTAATAAAACAATCTGAAGCCTTCAAAGTTCAAGTCAGACGGCCAGTAAGTAGGCTTCTTATTAATAAATTCTCTCTAAACAGATTAAAAACCTTTTGGATAAAAACAAGTATAGACACAGATGCTTAAAGTTACCAAATTATGTATTTTGGATTCTCCCATGTATTTCTTTACCCGGTTGCCCAAAGAAATATTATAATGATTGAATTTCTGAATTTAGGCTGTCTTTCATGATCATAACCCTTAAAGCTTGGTGAAAATATCAAAACCTAAACAACAAAATGTAACTACTTTATTACCTTGACTCCAAAAATAAGATGCCACAATGTATAAATCAAGCAATGAGATTTTATGAGAAGAATTCGATTATTCAAAAGTAAATGGTCAATTAGACTAAATTCTCACCTGTAAAATTACCTAAAAGAAAAACCGTAAATACACCGCATTCTCTGCATAATTTTGAGAGAAGCGGTCATCCAGAACGCAATATTAATATTAAACTACGTCATACTGTTACCTTTTCTTCTACATAAGGTGAGACAATTTATAACACAGTAAATGTTAAGCTTATTGATTTAGGGCAATTTAAAATTCCAAAAAATCTTTCATAAGTTGGTCAAACAGATTAAATTACCTATTTTCAAGTTAACTATAACAAAAACGATCCACCGGTAAAACCACCGCATTCCTAAAATCCTATGCATAATTTTGAGAGAAGCGGTCATCCTGACCGCACTATTAATGTTAACCGCTTCCATTAAATACTGCGTTTGCAGAGCCCTAATGAATTCAGAAACTTCTGCCATTAAGCCTCGTTAAACTTAATGAAAATCCACTAATACAACATTCAGCATATACCCATTAATATCCAAAACCGCTTTATTAATCGGTTATTATGTTTCATGACTGTTTTTGTGTTAATCTAAACGTTTGGATTTCAATTACCTGCTTGTATACCTTTCTTGCAAATAAAAAGTTTTCTATTCTATTCTATTCTATTCTATTCAATTTCTGTTTTCATGGGTTGATTTTGAGTGTTTCCTATGCTTAAATTATTTTACTGAGGGCCGAGTGTGAGTTTACATTAAACGCGCTCACTGTGAGCGCGTATAAAAATGACATTAAATGTATGACGAATTGTACAGTCTCTAGCGGAATCTTTGAAGAACAAAAATTTTCATACATTTTTTTAACGCGCTCAACTTTGTAGCCATACCTAAATATATTACGTTGAATACATAGTACATCGAGTCGTAGGGATGAAGCCGTTCAGAAAAATCGAATAATCCTTTAATTCGATGCATTTGTGCAATCCAGTCGATCCGTAAAAAGGTGTCCGATTCGAATTCGCGAGAATCGTTCTCCCCCGTCCCGGGTCGGCGGCGAACGTCATCAATCGCGTCAATCACGGATGTTTTCGAATAGCAAAACCGATTATCGGGCGTATTAAGTCGGTTATTGTTATCGACAGACCCGTCCGTCCGACCGTGAAGTAGATTAGGGACATCATAATAATGCCATATTTTTGGTGTCAGCTGCACGCATCACATGCACGCCTTATTTTTTGCCGTTTTCCTTGAAATCTGCTCGGTTCATTTTGGCCCGCATATTGCGATACGCTCTGGAGTTTAAATTTTGAAGTGGATTAAGGCGGAATTGCAAATCCCCCAACGCAGTTCCTTACAAATTGAAGTCGGATAATCGAACATTTGATTTTTACTATGATTGGAATGCTTATTAACTCGATTTAATTTAGTGTTAACTATAGATATTAAAATACGTAGTATTAATTCTTTTCTTAGACTAGGTACATTAAAAAAAAGAACGATCTTAAATTGCTGATGATCAGGCGTTATTGTGGTCAAATGCATGCCTACTTCTGCATAAAAAATGTTGCTATTATAAATCAATCATACTGTTAGTTTCGTTTTATGAACAAGAAAGAAAATTAGATTAAAATAAAATAATAAAAGTACATACATAACTATAAACTAGATAACTTGTTGTCCCGCTAATGACAATTTAAGTTCACCCAAACCGAGCCACTCACCGTCATACATCGTCAAATGGACGCAGAAAGTAAAACTAGCGGTCATTATGTCGCTAATTACAAGGGTCAAGCCTTGAACGCTCGGGACTGAATAAGTTTGGGACGATTCTTTGCCATTTACCCTGGACATAAGCCTGGGAGAACAGACAGTCATCTATCAACACTTTGCTACAACGCTTTAGAAACATTGACTAAATAGGCGAGTAATGAGGTGTTAGATATTAGCTTGGTTTGCCATACAAGAGCTATGAGAGAGCCGCGCTTTGAAAGCTCATAAAAATATAAAATGGACATGTACCAAGTACCTACTGTAGAGCACATAGAATCATTTTTATAAATCTTGATAAAAACTACAAAAAAAATCTTTTGGCATGCTAAGTTCAAAGTGCAAATCCACGTAGCCCAATTTTTTCTACGTGATTATTCTTCGCGGCGTGGCTATAAGAATACAAATCGATGTTACTTTAAACTCGAAAAAATGTTTACACTTTTACATTAGAGTAATACTTATCTACAGGGGAGGTAGCTCGACTAATGTCCATTCTGGGACACCCTGTATATACCTAATCGTCAATTACAGTATATTATGTACTTATAGTTTTACATTAGCTTTCAAAGTCGCCATATCGTTAGTTTCTATACAGTGAGTTGGCTGTCCAATTTGTGAGAGGTCATGTCCATCCTGGCCTGTCATTAGAGGGCAATGTTTAACAAAACTTGTCCGTCGCTGAATAGCGTATAATGAAAGGGTTGCAATGTTACGTACATGACGAATGCGTGCGCTAGAGCGGGCTTTATTGCAAGAGTGATAATGCCGCTTTTCTAGAGTAATTTCAACTTTTTTCCGCCATGAAAGTTAGGATTTTCCGCTGAATCATGTTAAACACTATGCCTACATTCTGGCCGAGTTAAAACGCTGCACAAACTTAATAATAATAAAATCATTATTTGGTAAAATCAAAACAGTACTTTTACATTGTATTTTACTCCGATTCGTTTTTCCTAAAAAAAACTTAGCATCTTTTTTATGTTTCTCTCAAATAAAGGCTAGCTTTTTCATCTAGCAAACAGAAGTAAAAACTAGAAATGCAGTCAAATAGTAGAAAGAAACAAAGAATTGTCGAAAACTGTTTAACGAGTCTTTTGTAAACTTAAGAAGCCATGAACTCGAGTGGCCGCGGCCGGACGAGAAGCAAATGTCCATGCGGTGGACGGAACAAAAAAGATGGCAAGAACGACTGCTTTCATTATTTTGAGGTTCCGTAGGTTTTAAATGCACAGTCATCAATTTTCAGCTCCATTTCTTATCACATGCTTGAGTTTCAATCGTGTATTATCATTAGTGACCAATTTATCGGAGAGTTGAAGTTGAGCCATACGTAATAAGTTACTGAAATATGTTTTAAAGTATTACGTTACTAAAGAAACTCATTTATTTATTATAATAATTCCATTATTCACTCAATAGAATGTCAAAATAAATTCCCAAGGAGATCAAATTCATAAACCGCATTTCTTGTTAACCACATATTGTTCTAGTTTCTCAAGTGCGCAAGAATATTTGTAATGAGATATTTTATAATGCTAGTGATCCAATTTTAAGCGAAACGACAGGTGTTATAAAGTTTAGTAGTTTTTCAAAAACGTTGCGGAACCTTAAAAACTGCAGACCGAATTGAAAGAAAGAGCTCACTCAGCCGGCTAAGGTTGAAAAAGGAAAAAACACACAATACGCAAGACGGTACAAGCTTTGACCATTGACCACAACTCATTTGAGCTCTCGCTCGGCTCTACAAATGAGAGCGATGAATTTTTAAGATCGACGGTTTTGTCGCGCGGCCCCGATCTCATCGTGTTTTAGGATTGTTTTGATTCAAAGATATCTGAGCAGTGTTCTTGTCACTCCAATTTGTATTGAAGCCAAGAAAATTTTAAATATAATGCTAGCGTTGAGGTTTATCCTTAAAACTGTAAATGTTTCTAATATCATATGGGCTTCGAATGGACATGACATGCATTGATTGAACCAACGCCTTATTTTTCGGTCGATGATCCAGTATAAAAAGAATTTTCGAGTGACTGACAAGACCTTTATTCTATCAATAATACCTTTCTGTTAATTACATAGTTATACAAACTAATTAGCTCCCAA